TCCTTGACGAAATTTTGCACTCACTCAAGGGGGAGAAGGGGGTTAATTGGGATTAATTTTGTGCGATTTCTCCAACGGAGACGATTTTTAGTACAAAACTGTTATTAGCACTTGGTAACGCAAGCAAGGAACATTTTCCATTTTTTGTAGAAGATTTTTCACATTTTCCATTTTTTATATTTTAAGGAGAATTCTGTCAAGTAATTATATTACCTTTGACTCTCGGATGAAGTCACCCTCAGAAATCTATCGCTATCTCGAGCTATCGACAATTTTAATCAAACGGACAGACCGAATGATCGAATTAAGCTTTCTACGAAACAATCGTAGATTTATCCTTTCTCAACTAAGTAGAATTTTCTTTTTCTTTCTTTTAACATCTTTTTTTTCTCTTTTCAAGTGAAATGGCCGCCAACTTTGCTTGAAAAGTGATTTCGTAGCTCTATGAAATTTTAAATGTTTTATTTCAACCATTTGCGCTGGCAACTGATTGCGGACCATAACGAGTGACCAAGCCGCACATAACAAATTGTAATTCGTCGCTTTCTTTTCGAACACGTCGGTACGATATCACTGGATAGAAATTATTGGCAAGTAATAACTTTATTATTTGTTTTGGCTGTGTTATACTTAAATACACTTAAGACTGAGAAAATGTTGCAATTTTGGGGCAAAAAAGTTCTCGACGTGCGTGGCATGTCATTGCCTGGCAAGAGGTTAGAGAATATTGCGATCGCGTGGAAGATGGTCGAGAAAATTGCATTGGAGTTGATCTACCGAGGTGGCACGTCGCCGAATAGATCACGATCGTGCATGCGAACGCTCATGCGTGGTGTCGTGCAGCTCGACGACGATCGGGAAATAAAGACGTTAACCACTCTATCTAACTCTCTCTCTCTCTCTTTCTCTTATATTGTCTGCTCGTGTGTAAACCCGCGAGCAGACTTCCCGCTGTTCGGGAAATCGATAAATTCACCGCGGCGATATCGATAGCGATAGCTACCAACGTTTTATCGCGCGGCGATGCGCGATCCCATCGATATCGCAGCCGTGGATCCTCTTTTTTCGTCACTGCGGGTGGTCGGAGAGCTCTGCCTCTCCAAAGGTAGAAAGGTGAATCGCTTCAACGGAACCACCAAGGCTTTTCCTATATTCTGCCTCTCTGCTTTTCACCTTCGAATCACAATCGAGTCGTGTTTCTGTCTCTTTCCTTCCCGCGACTCTCCACTTTAAAACCGTCGCGTTTGCTGCCCGTTTTTAACGGAGTTCTCGTTTCCGGCTAGCGGAGATCCCTCGTGGGAATTTCGCTACCGCCAATTAACCGTACCCGGAGAAAGTACACCACTGAAAGCGCGGTATGCGTGCGTATATATATCTGGTTCTGCGAACCGGGTGGAAATTTCAACAAAGTCACTGGACACGACCATTTTTTTTTTTTTTTTTTCCCCTCTTTTTGCACGCGTTGTGTTTCCTTTCTTTTCGTCGGTACACGCGAGCTCCAACGTGAAAGTTGAAAGGGGGAAGAAACGTAACTGGTCAGGTTTCTTGGTCAGTATATTTATTTTAGAATTCTTTGCAATTCGTTGTACGCTTTTTATTTGTCTTTCGCAAGTAATTTTGTTTGAAAAGATGTTTCAAATTTTCGTCGAGTAATTTCACAATTTACGAACGCGTTTCTTGATCATGTTTCTTCTTTAATTTATTTTAGTTTTTAATTTATTATAATTTTTTAATTAAAGAAGAACATACTGCGGAAATGTTTCTCTTAATTAATCCTTTGAGATTTCGAGTTTTAATGTTGTTGCGCGTCTACTTGTATTTATTTCAAGGTAAATTAATGTACAATATATAAATTCATAATATAGTTTACTTTTTATAATTTCTTAAAGCGCGGTTAATGTTTAAAAAACAATATCCAGAGTTTTGTAGAAAATTTTTATCTACAGATTGACGCTATTATGCAACGATCTGGATGCGAATTTTGTCGGACAATTTTCATTAAATTACATACAACTATTTTAGTTTATCTCGCGCAAACACAGTGAGTGATGAATGAAAAGGATGAACGATAAAGGGATAAGAAATCTGGTCTCAAAAACGTTGACAATCGTTCTCACGATAAGGAGAGCGTTAACTACGCTCATTCATAATCTATTTGGCATCTCGGAAGATTAGATACGCAGCATGTTCAGACAACTTTTCTGATTGAATCGTCGAAAGATTGAAACAGAAAAAGTCGTGCCTTATCGTTTTCCAGAATCGAGCGAGAAGAAACTGTGTTGCAACACGAACCTTGTATATCATCTTTCCAATGATTTATGCGCTTAGTGTTTCAAAAAAAAAAAGAAAAAAAAACAAAAAAAAGAAAAAGAAATTCTATTAGTAATTCGAAATCTTCGTTGAAAACGTTTTCATTTCGTTTCTGAGTTTGAAGTTCAACTTGAAATTGCAGGGTCTCGAGTATTATAAAATTTATAATTAAAACTTCGCTGTTTAATATCACGTTTTGTCCGGAAACTTTTCTTTTACTGTGTTAATCCTCTTGAATAGAAATGAGCTTAGCTTTCACTTTGTCCTTCAATTAACCACCACAGATTAACCACTGTTGTAGATCCGACTGTTCTTGCTTTTTCTTTCTTGAGGACTCGGGCACTTCATGCTCAATTACATTTCTACGTTTCATTCGACCAACAGCTTTCAATTAATGTACAATAAAAGTAGCACGGATCTAGATATTATAATTTTCTCTTGTATTTTACACTTTTCATAATTGAAATTAAATTAAACGAAATTAAATGAAACAAAGAATTAAGTAATTTAATTTTAAAAATTGCTACAATCGCCAATGTAGCTCGATGATACCGGCTACAAAATATTCGTAAAATATTCCATCAAAATTCCATCAAGGACATCGTATATGCTATTTTCTTCTTAATAAAAAGGCAAATTTCCTTTTCAATGAACATCATCCTCAAGAACAAAACGAATCGATAATTCTTCTACTATTCTCACATGTATATCCATAAAATATTCCATCAAAATTCCTAGCAGGACATCTAATAAAAGAATATTTCTTTCCAATAAACATCACCCTCAGAAACAAACGTATTCTTCAATATTATTCTTATTTATATCCACAAAATATTCCATTAAAATTCCATCAAACAAACAGCAAAATATTGTATATATTACATTCCTCCTAACAAAAAGACAAATTTCCTTTTTGATGAGCATCATCTTCAAAACAAAAATCCTATAGAGCCGAGCATGAACTATTCTTATTTATATTCAAATAAATAAAATATTCCATCAAAATTCCGTCAAAGAAACAGCAGGCTATCGTATGCGTTACTTTCTTTTTATAGTAAAAGAAAAACAAATTTCTTTTTACCAATGAATATCAGCTTCAAGAATCAAAATGCTCTGTAGAATCAGGCACGAATTATTCTTATTTCTATCCGAATGAATAAAATATTCCGTGAAAATTCCGCCAAACGAACAGCAGGATATCGTGTGCGCCACTTTCTATTTTTAGTAAAAAGAAAAAAACAAATTTCCTTTTGCCAATGAATATCACCTTCAGGAATCAAAATTCTCCGTAGAGTCAGGCACGAATTATTCTTATTTCTATCCAAATGAATAAAACATTCAAAATTCCGTCAAGCGAACAGCAGAACATCGTACGTGCTACTTTCCTTCTGACAGAAGGACAAATTTCCTTTTGCCAATGAGTATCACCTTCAGGAATCAAAATTCTCCGTAGAGTCAGGCACGAATTATTCTTATTTCTACCCAAATGAATAAAACATTCAAAATTCCGTCAAGCGAACAGCAGAACATCGTACGTGTTACTTTCCTTCTGACAGAAGGACAAATTTCCTTTTGCCAATGAGTATCACCTTCAGGAATCAAAATTCTCCGTAGAGTCAGGCACGAATTATTCTTATTTCTATCCAAATGAATAAAACATTCAAAATTCCGTCAAGCGAACAGCAGAACATCGTACGTGCTACTTTCCTTCTGACAGAAGGACAAATTTCCTTTTCTATGAACGTCACCCGCAGGAATAAAACCCTACGGAGTCTCAGCGTCGGGTGCAACAGCAACTCGACACGAATACTCGGGATTCCAGCGTACTGATCCATCGTTCCACCTGGCCGCGAATAAATTCCTACCTCGTTTTAGCAGTACTCTCCCCCGGGACCTTCGTCTTCTCGACGAAGTTTCATCGCGGCGCACACGCGTCCGCGAGTTTTTCGCGTCGAGCTGTCGGCCAAGGTGCCTCTCGTCTCGCATAATGAAGAGCGCCGTTTTCGTCGCGGTCCGCCACTTTTTCCGGCGAGGCCTTCATTCACCAAACGAGCAGAGCCGTGGCCACGCCGAATACAGAGGAATCCTGCCCCGCTAACGATCCGAAAGCTCCTGTCCGTGTAAATGCGGGTCTTTTCTTTTTCACGAACGAGTTTATCGCGCCTGGGCCCGCTTGTCTCGTCGATAATAATAATAATTGTTACGTTGTAAGGGTGTAACTAAACTATAATTTAGAAAATATATAGAAAATATCTAGTAACTAATATTAATAATATTATTATAGTAATATATAGTAAATATATAGAAAATATCTAGTAACTAATATTAGTAATAATAATATTAGTAATATTAGTATAGTAACCAATATATAGTAACTAATGTATAGTTACTGTAATTTAGAAAACTATAGTTCAGAACTTTTATTTGAACGAGACGAGACTTTTCCACTTAACTTATTGTAACATACATATGTGAAAATGTCGATTGTGCGATATTGACTGATATGGATCCTATTCTATGCTTGTACAGTGATTTATCATTGGTGAATTCTACGCCTTCGATTTGATGGAAATTCATGGCAATAAACCAGCCAAAAAATTTTTTCTCTTTCTGCTTTTCAAAATTGTATCCAATTGCGTAATTTATGAAGATCACAAAGTAATTCGTTGGGTTAAATTCTATTGTTACAGAGATCGAGGCGCAAGAGGCTTGCAAATGGCTGAGAGCGGCTGGTTTTCCACAATACGCGCAGATGTACGAGGGTGAGTCGAGCGTTTTCTATCTACCAATGTTCCTACGCACGCGAAACTACGTGTTTAAGAGAAAAAAGAAAAGTCAGATCTTCTACTCATCCGAAAAACAATTACACACATAGAGGAATAACAATTATAATTAATAACAATTATCTTCTTTCTAAGAAAGGACAAAATGCAATGAATAATTTATCATAGAAAATAACCGAGTCACGAAGTGTCCCTGCCAATCAGGAAGCAGAGAATAGAAACATCGTCGATAAAAATCTAAATCTTCGACCCTCCGAATCGAAGCTGCTCGAAAATAGATTGAAGGAAAAGAATTAGAATGAAAAGCGATCCATGGCCGTTATTCCCCGAGCGGTTCCAATTTATTTTCAATTTATTCTCATATATTGAATAATTTTCCTCAAAATGGGACATAACGTGATCAAATAAACATTACAGTGAGATTCTCTGTTCGATAAATTTTTACCCTGATATATCCTTTGTTCAAACAAATTTTCACTCAATAAAACGATTCCATCGCTGATGAATCAATTTCACCCAACGTTGATTTCAAAATGAAAGAGTCTAAAATTTGAAATTTTATCAAATGTCAGAAAAACTAGAAACAGTCGCAGACACTGACCAAATGGCACAAAATGGAATTATGCGTCCGATTTACGTCATCGAGACATCGATCACGCCAGAAAATTTTTCGGAAAAAAAATCGTTCGAGCATCCCCCCTAAAAAAAAAAAAAAAAAAAAACAGAACGTGAAGCAAGTTTTGAAAGATGAAAATGAGAGAAGCGACCGCAGTGTAGGCTTACAGTATCCTTTCAAACGAGAAGAATCGTCAATTGGAAAGGAAGGGTGGTCCGTGGACCACCAAAGCAGACGTGTGTGAATGTTTTCGTCGGGGATCACGTGTACGTGAGATTTTTACTAATATCCATGGCCTCGGAAACAAAGGTCTCCCTGTTTCGGTTTCGTTCTTTTTTCCCCCCGGCTACGTACCTCCATAATATTAGAGTATAAATTTCAAGATCTCATTGTTCGGCGGCCTTGGCCGGGCCGTTTCATTTGCAATTCATCGATCGCGCCGAGGCGAAGAAGTATAACGAGTTTCGACTTGATGTTTCCGATAATAACTATGAAAATCCTTGTTTCTTTCATACACTTTGCGATGCAGTTTGAAAAGCATTGGATACTCGTTGTTAATAATATACTCTATGAATATTGTTTGATCACAACGAAACTTAATTATTTTATTATAATGTGAAACGTAAATTCTCTGTTTTCTAAAACTTTATACATTATAAAACACTGTTCAACCCTCTCGTTTGATATAATACCATCTTAGATTTATATCTTTCGGTACATGATTGAACTTGAGAATTACAATTTTATTTTTCCAATTGAATTACAATCCATGCGCTTGTAATTTTGTGTTTCACTTTTGGAAAAAAAGCCGAGATATTATCAAATGACGTCCAGAGTTCGTTAAAGTTTCCAATTTAAAATAATATTGCTCTTTTAATAAAATTACGTCTCTTCATATACCATCTTCATAAAAATCACTTCCTACCATTCTAAAATAAATCCGTAATTTTTTAAATTATTTCTGTCGTCAATTTTCGGAACGGAAGAAATAACTTCTAAAACGTAATGAAAAAATTATGTTTGAATTTAATTTAAAATTAATAAAATTAGTTTTTTCTCATATTTTAATGTTTCATTAAAAAAATAAAAAATAGTTGGGAAGAGACCTTTGGCCCACTCTGTAGATATTCAACTCACAAGTTACTTTTATTAGTTTTATTTTAAATTACACTTATATAACTCCGTTCACTTGTATTTTTATATTCTGTAAAAAAAAAAAAGAAAGACACTAAAAAGCCATCAGATAACATTCACACTGTACCAGATGTCCAGATTTATTTTCAACAGACTACGATTTTATTCACCCAACAAAATCGTACTAGAAACGCGTTTGCGCGGGACGAAAACGGCCGGTGTTTTGCGAATGACGGGCCGATTTCAGTGCAAATTGTCGCGGATTGTTTAAAAATAGTGTTCCCGGCGGGAACGGCGAGCAAATAAACAGCGAAATGAAACAATGGCTCGCTAATGACGCGGTAAGAACGGCACCGGGGCAGTGCCACTAGCGTAAACGCGACAGCGAGAACGCACGGGCGCGCGAGTCAGCGCAATAACGAGCGCATTGTTGGCAGGCGCCGCGACAAAGAGACCCATTATGATAAGTATTAACATGTCCGGACGCATCAGGCTACCCTTTAATAAATTACTCTCCCGGCTCGTGTCGCGATTCGACTCGTTCTGCCTACGTGTGTGTCTGTCGAGCTCTCTTCTTCCGCCTTTTCCTCCTTTTTTTTTTCTTTTTCTTATTTGTAGTCGGCTACTAGATAGAATCTTTCTATTTAAATGGAATCTACTGGTTTTTTTTTCTTTTTTTTTTTTTTTTTTGGTGAGATGGAGAAAGAGTTTAGGACGACGAGGGATTTAACTCTGATGAAACTATCAAAATGGCTAAAAATGAACAATTTATAATTTTTGTTGGAAACTTTATGAACACGAAACACAGTGTACTTTTTGGAGATTGAAATGATTTTTTTTTTTTTTTGTAAAATGTCGTTTTGTGAAAGTCAAAACTCGCGTAATTTATTGTATTCTTTTCTACCTTTTTACTTTGATATTTCTGATGGGAATTTTTAACTTTTTAAATTGTCATTGATAGTTCTAGTGTCCTGGTGTGACGTCTGACGAATTTTTTTTTTTTTTTTTTGGTTTTTCTTTTCAGACAAATTTTATTCTTACGCATTTTTGCAAAATTCTGTCAATATTGCTGTAGGACTACTTGGAATTAAATTGATGACGCGTAAACTGTCATCTAATGAAATGTTAAAAAAAAAAAAAACAGTACTAGATAATAAAATAGAAAAAGATATATAAGATAGAAAAAGAAGTAGATAAAACAAATGAATGAATCGATCAGGCAATTACAAATGTTACAAAATATCTGACCTATAAAATTCAAGAGTTCGGCAAAAATCGGTATAAGAACACGATGCAGCGAGAAGAAGACGTGAAATTGTGCATGGCGAGAGAAATGATGTGCATTAACCGTGAGATACTATCGCTTCGATCATGTATATAACTGTATATACATGTCCAATGAAACGTTAATATCTACATACGTAAAACTTCGATATAATCAATCCCATAAATCTTCAGCTGCATTTAGCAACACGCAACTTCGCAATTTCAAGTTTTGATACAAATCTTCAGCCCGGGTAAAGGGCAAAAAAAAAAAAAGGAAAGGGAAAACTCGAGAACTGGAGCCACGGTTCTTAATTCAACTTCCTCGTTTTATCTCTCTTCTCCAAACGATATCAATCATTCTATCATGCTCACTTCACGCTCAAAATTTCATACTTTCTCCTTACATCGAAGCTCTCCTTTCCCCTCCAAAATAAACCTGTCCCTTGGCATAATTAACTGAGAATATGGCAGACCAGAGATATTTGACTCGCGCAAGCTTCAACATCTTGAAATCCAATACTGAACTCTGTGCGGGATAATCAACCGGGATAATCATGTTGCGCATTAGTATAATATCCCATTTTTTAGGTCAGAAAGAGAAAATGTCAGATATGACTCGAATAATGTCACTGTAGAAAATGTTAAATCGAGTAAAATTAAAAACAGACTGAACTTCTATCTTCTAGCGAGTGGAGCTTCAATCATCGTGGAAAACTATCTGTGTTAAGCACGTACGTACAAGATATATATATAGGGCCAAAAATTACTTCTTACTAAATACTAAATCGGTAATTTTTTTATTTTGTGCTTTTTTAATTTTTTTTTTTTTTACGGATTAAAGTACAGTAATTTAAGTTCTTAAGTAATTTAAAATTAATGAATTTTTTCTTATATTCTTTTTATATTTTGACTGTATCAAATATAGATCACTCGAGCCTTTAGTACGTAAAACATCTGATATATCAGCTCTATCCGCGATTTTTATCTCTAACGTTTAAATATTCCAACTTTTCTCACTGTAGTCCCATTTTTACAAAATATTTCTACCGAAAAGCAGTGGATATGTATGTACGTTTCAACGTTTCCACGACAGTGCTTTCCGTAATTCTAGACGATGCATAAACAAAAATCATAAGATAAATCATTCGCGACTGAATTTGACAAGGTGAAACGTCCTCCCGACTGTCCTGAAACTGGAGCAAACGAAACGGAGCCTCTCCCCGTGTTTGGACGCGTGTCGCGGATACTGAACACGGTGTCATGTTCGAGGTAAAACTCGAAGTTGGCTGGCAACCTGCCGCGCGGTAGAGCACCGAGAACCAGGTGCTACAACGATACCAGAGAAAGGACTAATAACTCCGCGTTCCGCGGTCATTCGCGTCCTTGACGCGAGCCAGCCTCCAGTAATTCCAGGCCTTTCCTCATCTCCGGCAGCTAATGCGCGAATAATAATCAGGCACACGTGGGATGATTAACGAGCGCCGGCTAAATAATTTTTCAGTGATACGGTAGCGCAACGCGGTGCCAATTTACCCGGCGAGAGATAGATCGTTGAACGACCAGCTGCCGGCTAAATAACAACAATGTCCCGCGAGATTTATGCGGAAACCGGGCCGAAGGATTTTAAGCCGAGGGACGAATTAGTAGACCGTGCACTGGACGTCGGCATAAATTTTCTGCGCTCTTTCTCGTTACCGCTGTCGCTCGCTCGGATCAAACCCGGTTCGATCCGTACGCACGTGTCGACACGCCGATTATAACGATTAAACGGTGATTTAGTGGCGTCTAGTCGTGCGAATGCGGCGAACTTTGGGCCGGACGCAGGTGTCGGGCCCAGACGGTTCAGATTGGTAGCAGAACCGCGTCCTTGCAATCCTTTAACCAACTTCGTTTAATGACAAATCGTTATCAAATTGTTCGTTATTTAGCGAATTTAAATTATGACGTTTATTTAGCTTTGGAA